GTAATATAAACATGTGTTATAAGAACATTTTATATTTGAAGGAAAGATAGGAAAGATGAAAACATGCTAGATCCATTCATTTATTGAGTTTTTTTTTTTGGGTCAGGCACAGTGGCTCACATCTGTAGTCCTGGCACTTTGGGAGGCTGAGGCAGGAGGATTGTTTCAACTCAGGAGTTCAAGACCAGTCTGGACAACATAGTGAGACCCCATCCTAAAAGAAAGGGAAAGGGAAAAAAAAGTGTGTGTGTGTGTTTGTATAAAATAATTATTTTAAAAAAATTCAATGGAATACAAAAAAGACACAATGAAGGTCTCAGTGGCCAGATAGTGCTAGAAAATAGGGACTGGGAATCCTAAAGCAGACCTTGTATTATTACGGTTGTTTTATGGGAAGCCTTTATAATACTGTCAAGATGGTCAGTAGACTTTGATTTGTTTTTCTCTAAGTAGGACTGTTATGATTTAGAGGCTATTGATTTTCATTAGGGGAAATGTTAGTTTCTCTATTAAATAGGGAACCAGTGTTTTCACAGGTCAGAGGAGGCAGACCTTGGCTGGATTTAGGCATGTGTCTTCCTGTTTCAGAATTATTTAAAGTTGGGATTCAATGGTTAGGCTGTGCCTGTGCATTTAATATTGACATTCTCTAATTGGAAATTGGGAAACCAACAATTTTTTTTATTGTGAAGAAGAATTTTGTTACAAAGTATGAGAAGTATGATTAAGGGGTGAATAGGTTTTTCTTACGTTTTTCTTTTGACTTCATAACTTTTGACTTCTGCCAACAAAGATGAAATAACTTTTTATAATTCTCAGAGGCTTTGGGTAGGAAAGGAAATGTTTTGTCTCTGTGTCATAGGAGAAAATAAAGTGATCATGTGACAGACCTGAGTTCTTTGAATTTCCTTTTTTGTAAACAGGTCTAATTCCCTCAGATATTGTTGATGTCTTCGGGTGAAAGAACATTATACATTAAGCACAAATGCTTGTTAGTGAATTGTAGGTCATTTATATAGGGTTTACTTTTAAATTAAACGACAATTGGCTGGGCGCGGTGGCTCATGCCTGTAATCCCAGCACTCTGGGAGGCCACAGCGGGCAGATCACGAGTTCAGGAGTTCGAGACCAGCCTGGCCAACATGGTGAAACCCTGTCTCTACTAAAAATACAAAAATTAGCCAGATGTGGTGGCAGGCGCCTGTAATCCTGGCTACTCGGGAGGCTGAAACAGGAGAATTGCTTGAACCCGGGAGGCGAAGGTTGCAGTGAGCAGAGATTGCGCCACTGCACTCCAGCCTGGGTGACAAAGCAAGACTCCGTCTTGGGAAAAATAAATAAATAAATAAATAAATAAAAAGACTATTATTGCCTTTGAAGGGAGATGTATTTTATAGGGCATAAGTGAAAGACATTGTTAAAATAACTAAAGCTAATTCTGTTTGAAAATCAAACTGTTGAGGGAAAGGGAAGCTAAAATGGGATCGTTCTATTTTATCTTTTAAAAGAGGACTGAGATTTATTTTTGTAATGTTTTTAAGCAAAAGAATCTATTTTTAAGACAGTAGTACTTAGGAATTGGGGTGGAAAGTGAAGAAAACTTTCAGGCATAAACATTCCTCTTTGTATTCAATATAACTGAGAAATGAAGTGGGAGTTATACATTTTTTTCCCCTCCAAGTGGAATGGAACTCTTGCTCTTGCCTTCCAGAATGTGGGAAGGGAAAGGGTAATAGGACAATGTGATTGTGGGTATGAAAAACATTCCTATAAACCAAAAAAGAAGTGTGAAGTTACAGGGAGTGGTATCCATTCCATTAGTTATACAACCTCAGACGGGGAGTCCTCCCGCCACAGTGATCTCGGGTTTCAGATGACACGATGCGCTTTCAGGTGGCCACTGCGCTCAAAAACGCCCATTATGCATTTTCAGCTTATAGTCGGCCTTCCTGCAGGTGAACTAGGATGGCTGACTCACTTTTTAAAAACTACCATCAGTTCACTCTGACCTCTTACCACGTGCCACTGCCTCACTCTGGGCTTCCCCCCATCCCCCAAGAGAAGAGTGTAAACCTTAGATGCAGTAGAGGGATGGGGACAGGGTGAGTCTGGATCACTGTGGAGAAGGAGTTGCTTCTCAACCCCTTGTGGGGTTCGCAGGCATGGGAGTTCCTCTCTGGGGGGCCTTCTAGACCTTAACTCTGCTTTAGCTGGGCAGATAGGAAAAGATAGGGGTGGTGTGGAGCAACAAGTTTAGCATGAACTCAGTGATTCAGTATGGCCGCTGTGCACGGGTTTATAAATCAGGAGGTTCCTGTACGTATAACAGCAGAAAAGGGTGAGAAGAGCCACATTAACCTTCCCAGGGTTCCTGAGAATATCAGACAGTCACACTGCCGACCACTCAAGTTTGGTTTCACGTGGCGACCTTTCCTCATTCTTGTGGTTGTATGTTCTGGGCCTCCCACCCACTGAGTATTTGAATTATCTCTTATCTTCTTTTTGTTCCTGAACCGACTGCCCTCTGGGATGAACAGTGTGTAACTGTATAAAGTCTTTTGCTCACCAAAGTCATAAAGAGAGGGCAAATGACATAAATCCTGTGAAGCTCGAAAGAAAAGGTGGAGGGACTAGGGCAGAGCCCCGCTACCATGGGGACTTCCAGAGCCTGAGCCCAAGCTTTGCATCAGTTAAAAATCTTCTTTTCAGGCCCTTTCAACCCTGGTGGGGTAGGGGGTGGTGTCTTGAGTTTTCTAGTAACAGTGACCTCCAACTGTAGATCAACATGGTTGGTAAAGACAGATCACAGGAATACTCTGCTAATGGCAGTTTTATTGTGAGTATTCCATTTACGACACCAGGATGATGGATAGAAATAAGAGTGGTGACATTCAGGGATTATTTGTAAGTGGGTGGATTCTTTTATGGATATAGTGCCTGACAGATGGCTTTTTCATTCCCCACATTTTGCAGTTTAAATGTTCAATTTCATTTAAAAAACAAAATCATAATCACAGACTTTCCTACTGGGTCTGACTTCTCATAGATATTTGTACTTCAGTATCCCTTTGGAGATGTTAATGTTTTATATCTTGTGTACTTTTCGCATTGGTGGTAGTTTGGTGCTGGGGATATGTTACTCCCCCCGTTTCCGCAGGCGCCCCTCTGAGAGAAGAGTGGTCACAGCGGGTTTTCTCTAGGCTGAGTAAGCCATCGAAAGAAAAGCACGTGTGATTTCTTCAGCTTGGTATTAACTGAGACAGGTGTGAATAGAAGCAGATTTATTCTTCAGCTCCCATCGAACCCATTTATTCTTCAGCTCCCATCGAATTCTAAGCGTTGATTTTGCCTTCAACGGTAGTTTTTCCTAACCAAATTCTTCACAGTGTTTGGATGTGTCCCCAGAGTGACTTAATATGCTGAGTGTCTTAGCTGTTGATAGATTTGTGGTGTATATGAGTTTTCTCAGGCATGTATATTCTCACTAAGTAGAAATTCTCTCTTGACCCTGGAATAGTTACTTTTATTAGGAATGTGTGATGTTTTGTAGATTGTACAAGAAAAAAAAAATATCAAGTGCTTCAGTAAGATGTGAAAGGAGACAACATGTCAGGGATCACTAAAACAGATTTGAAGGAAGGATAATAACACAGTAAATACTGAAGAACAGAGTCTGTCAAGGAACACACATCTAAATTGGCTAGGTGAATTCTTCCACTGAAAGTTGCCTGAAGTCAGCTGCTACCCTCTTCCCTTCCGACTGACTGCTGTTTGCTTCATTCCTTTCTCTTCTCTTGCTCTCTCCTGTTCCCTCTTTCCTTTCCTTCTCTCCCTGGCTGTTTGCCTCCACTGCAGAAGGAACAGATCCAAGAGATCCTCTCACTTCCTGAGGGCCCCAGAGCTAGTGAGTGTCAGAGCTGGGTCCAGCCCTGTTCTTCTGTTATAAACCCAGTGCCTGTCTTGGTATTGCATTAATTATTTGACATTTATGCTAGAACCTGTCTTGGTATTGCGTTAATTATTTGACATTTGTGCTAGAAAGATAAGTGACACTTTGCCTGTCCTCAGGCAGCTTACAGGCCAGTCTGTAAGAGGAGACAAGTACACACAGACTGGAGTAGAGACCAGGAAACAGTAGAGTCCCAGGACGGAAAGCTGGGGGTCCAGGGAGCAGAACATACCCCCTGCAGTGGAGGCTTTATTTCCCCCTGACAGTCACTTGTCCTCTGCAGGTGGGGGGATGGGCCCCTTTTAAAGACCCTCAAGCACTGCATGTATTCATATATCCTTCATGTTTAGTAACGGCTGTGACCAGCCATTTTTCTAAAACTCTGCATCCTCCTGTCATCTGAGAGTGTTTCTTTTTTAACAAACATAATAGGGAAAATTAGGGTTAAATAAAAATGGATGGAATCAGCTCCTTAGGGTTTTTTTTTTTAAAAAAAGTCCCAAGTGGAATTTATTAGCAGGTATCCTGCGGTGGGTGTGGATGCTCGTTTCTTTTCTCTCTGTGGATGAATATTGAAATCTGTAATTGGCTTTTTTGATTGTGGCATGTTTCTTTTAATAAGGTATCCCAAATCTGATGGTGACGATGATAGTGATAATTTTGCTAGCGGAATTAAATACTGTCAAGATCAAAATATGTTGGAAGTAGCTTTTTATGAAAATGACACATTTTCTAGTTGCTAAACCAGAACCTGTTTTTCTAGGCTACAGCAGTTTCAGTCAACTTCATTCTTGTTAGCTGGGAGCCATGCTGGTAACGCCGTACAGCAGTATGAAGGGATCACTTTTGAAGCTAAAATTATCTAGGTCTTACATGTATTTTCTTGATGTTTGTCCACTTGGACTCAGAGTTTCGTAGTTACCGTAAATGCAGTTACCTCCTTGCTCTTTCTTGGTAATCATTGTTACGTTAGTGCGAGTTGTATAGGGGTTTTATCTCATCGCGAGGAAATATCAATTTCTGATGGAACTATTTTCTGCTCATTTAACAGAACATCTGCTCAAATTCATGACCATGGGGGATATGAAGACCCCAGACTTTGATGACCTCCTGGCAGCATTTGACATCCCAGATATGGTCGATCCTAAAGCAGCTATTGAGTCTGGACATGATGACCACGAAAGCCACATGAAGCAGAACGCTCACGGAGAGGACGACTCCCACGCACCATCATCTTCTGACGTGGGTGTCAGCGTTATCGTCAAGAATGTTCGGAACATCGACTCGTCCGAGGGCGGGGAGAAAGACGGCCACAACCCCACCGGCAATGGCCTACATAATGGGTTTCTCACAACGTCCTCCCTCGACAGTTACAGTAAAGATGGAGCGAACTCCTTGAAAGGAGATGTGCCTGCCTCTGAGGTGACTCTGAAAGACTCGACGTTCAGCCAGTTTAGCCCGATCTCCAGTGCTGAAGAGTTTGACGACGATGAGAAGATTGAGGTAGATGACCCTCCTGACAAGGAGGATGTGCGATCAAGCTTCAGGTCGAACGTGTTGACAGGGTCGGCTCCCCAGCAGGACTACGATAAGCTGAAGGCACTGGGAGGGGAAAACTCCAGCAAAACGGGACTTTCCACGTCAGGCAATATGGAGAAAAACAAAGTTGTTAAGAGAGAAGCAGAAGCCAATTCTATAAACCTGAGCGTTTATGAACCTTTTAAAGTCAGAAAAGCAGAGGATAAATTGAAGGAAAACTCTGACAAGGTGCTGGAAAACAGAGTCCTGGATGGGAAGCCGAGCTCCGAGAAGAATGACGCTGGCCTTCCCGGTGTTGCGCCATCAAAGACAAAGTCGTCCTCCAAGCTCTCGTCCTGCATCGCTGCCATCGCGGCTCTTAGCGCTAAAAAGGCGGCTTCAGACTCCTGCAAAGAACCAGTGGCCAATTCGAGGGAATCCTCCCCATTACCAAAAGAAGTAAACGACAGTCCGAGAGCCGCCGACAAGTCTCCTGAATCCCAAAATCTGATCGATGGGACCAAAAAACCATCCCTAAAGCAACCAGATAGTCCCAGAAGCATCTCAAGTGAGAACAGCAGCAAGGGATCCCCGTCCTCTCCCGCAGGGTCCACACCAGCAATCCCCAAAGTTCGCATAAAAACCATTAAGACATCTTCTGGGGAAATCAAGAGAACAGTGACCAGGGTACTGCCAGAAGTGGATCTTGACTCTGGGAAGAAACCTTCCGAGCAGACAGCATCCGTGATGGCCTCTGTGACATCCCTTCTGTCATCTCCAGCATCAGCCGCCGTCCTTTCCTCTCCCCCCAGGGCGCCTCTCCAGTCCGCGGTCGTGACCAATGCAGTTTCCCCTGCAGAGCTCACCCCTAAACAGGTCACAATCAAGCCTGTGGCTACTGCTTTCCTCCCAGTGTCTGCTGTAAAGACGGCAGGATCCCAAGTCATTAATTTGAAGCTCGCTAACAACACCACGGTGAAAGCCACGGTCATATCTGCTGCCTCTGTCCAGAGCGCCAGCAGCGCCATCATTAAAGCCGCCAATGCCATCCAGCAGCAAACTGTCGTGGTGCCGGCATCCAGCCTGGCCAACGCCAAACTCGTGCCAAAGACTGTGCACCTTGCCAACCTTAACCTTTTGCCTCAGGGTGCCCAGGCCACCTCTGAACTCCGCCAAGTGCTAACCAAACCTCAGCAACAAATAAAGCAGGCAATAATCAATGCAGCAGCCTCGCAACCCCCCAAAAAGGTGTCTCGAGTCCAGGTGGTGTCGTCCTTGCAGAGTTCTGTGGTGGAAGCTTTCAACAAGGTGCTGAGCAGTGTCAATCCAGTCCCTGTTTACATCCCAAACCTCAGTCCTCCCGCCAATGCAGGGATCACGTTACCGACGCGTGGGTACAAGTGCTTGGAGTGTGGGGACTCCTTTGCACTTGAAAAGAGTCTCACCCAGCACTACGACAGACGGAGCGTGCGCATCGAAGTAACGTGCAACCACTGTACAAAGAACCTCGTTTTTTACAACAAATGCAGCCTCCTTTCCCATGCCCGTGGGCATAAGGAGAAAGGGGTGGTAATGCAATGCTCCCACTTAATTTTAAAGCCAGTCCCAGCAGATCAAATGATAGTTTCTCCATCAAGCAATACTTCCACTTCAACTTCCACTCTTCAGAGCCCTGTGGGAGCTGGCACACACACTGTCACAAAAATTCAGTCTGGCATAACTGGGACAGTCATATCGGCTCCTTCAAGCACTCCCATCACCCCAGCCATGCCCCTAGATGAAGACCCCTCCAAACTGTGTAGACATAGTCTAAAATGTTTGGAGTGTAATGAAGTCTTCCAGGACGAGACGTCACTGGCTACACATTTCCAGCAGGCTGCAGATACGAGTGGACAAGTAGAGTATCATTTAAATTTTCGTGTTTCAGTGATGAGTCTGTAGGCATGAGTGCTTGATAAGATGTCCTTGATTTTAGGGTGGGAATGCAGTGAAATGGATGGGTGTGTGTGTGCATGCATGCCTGTGCAGCCAGGCACATGATCCAGTAAGGATTGTTCTCATAGAATAGAGAAAATTAGCTGGGGATGTGGTGGTGGCGGCGGTGATGGAGGTGGTAGCAGGAGTGGTAGTGGCGGTGGTGGTTGTGGCAGCAGTGGCATGTGCCTGTTGCCCCCAGCTATACTCGGGAGGCTGAGATGGGAAGATTGCTTGAGTCCAGGTGTTCGAAGCTGCGGTGAGCTGTGATTGAGCCACTGCACTATAGCCTGGCATTGGGGCGAGATCATATCTATTAAAAAAAAGAATAGAAACAATGTTGAAACATTGATCTTATTTTAATAAAATAGTTTTTTTTGGGAAGATAATATATATGTACTAATTGAGTTGTGGAACTTTAGATTTTGGTAATCATTTGGTCATTGGAATGTATATTGAAAGTCTGAAATTTAGCTGATTATAGTGTCATCCTGTTGTATTAGGTGTTTGAGCCAGGCTTCATCATCAGAGTTCCTGAGTTAGTGACAATTTTGATATTTAGAAAAATACTTACTGTTATTTATCTGCTGGCAGCTGTACTGAACTTACTGTTGTTTATAATGCTGATCTTTCTTTTATAGTTGAATGCATTTATCAGTAGCCACTTCTATGGCATGTGTGCTTACTTAAGATGGTGGTCCAGAAGTGTGTTCAGTAATATCCTTCACTGCAATGAATTTAAGCCACAAATGGCAAACCCACCTCCAATTAAACAGAATACCTTTGTATGTGTTTGCAGCTTTTGTTTTGTAGTGAAGTGCAGGTCGATGTTTGTGAATTACATTTAACAGTGGGCATCAGCCAGCCTTTTATCTCCATCATTTGCTACTTAATGAGGCAACTTTTAGCTAATAGAGAAATGTATTTATCATAAATTTATAATACTGTTATTTGGAAGTAATTAGACATGTTGAATGAAATAAATTGGAGTTAGACCATGTGACGTAATGTCCAAACCAGAAAACGTGTGAAATTTGACTGGGCACAGTGGCTTATGCCTGTAATCCCAGCACTTTGGGAGGCCGAGACAGGTGAATTGCCTGAGCTTGGGAGTTCAAGACCAGCCTGGGGAACATGGCAAAACCTCGTCTCTACCAAAAATGCCAAACATTAGCTGGGCTTGGTAGCGCGTGCCTGTGGTCCCAGCTACTTGGGAGGCTGAGGTGGAAAGATCACTTGAGCCTGGGAGGTGGAGGTTGCAGTGAGCTGAGATCATACCATGGCACTCCAGCCTCAGGTGACAGAGCAAGAGACCCTGTCTCCAACAAACAAACAAACAAACAAACAAAAAAAACCACTTGTGAAATTCAAAGGGAGCACTAGTTTGAGCTAATATACTCTGCCCCTCCAACATCTCTTTATAAAGATTTAGCAGTAAACTGGGCTTTCCTTTTTTTTCCCCTCCAATAGTTTGTTAATTAGGATGTTTGTGCTGCAGTTCAGAAGTTTGGTACTATCTTGGTGATTAGTTCCTCAAGGGTAATTACTGGTTTAAGCTCTTTGTAGCATTTCGAGTTTGGGGAACGAAAGATCAAGAATACCCTGGTAATTTTTTTCTCTGGTTTTTCAGTTTAGTGGAAATGGAAGCAATAAAGAGTTTTGACAGCATTCTTGCGGGTTTGAATGTTAAATGTTTCATTGACTCCAGCAGTAAAATGCTCAAAAAACAGGAAAGCAGCGACTTAGTTTAAGAAGGCTCTGATGGCTCCAGCTGTTAACCTAGCCCGGTGACAATGCCTGGGTTCTGTCTCCATGGATGTCCTCCCATCTTGACACCACTTCATCAAAAGGATAATATTTCTTTTCATCCTAACGGGATGCAGTAAAAAAGGGGAAAACGCCAAAAAGCTCTTTCTTCATTTCTGTTTTCCTCTTGTCTCGTGTCTGTCTGCTGCTGGACTGTGTAGAGTGGTCGACTGTGTCCTGGTTTAGGAGGGTTCTCACTATGAGCTGTGTGCTCTGTATCTGGCCTTTAGAGCTACCCTCAGATGTGTCTGTCTGAGACCTCCTTCTCTGAGAGCAAGGAAGGGCATGGGCAGGTGGGTAGGATTTCGTTCTTCCCTGCGTTTCCCTAGTTTTTGTTCTTTATTAACCTTTTAGGCTCAACAGCCAAACTAGGGTGAAATGGGTGAAGCTCTGCCCCGGGAGGAGAGATTAACATCTTTTCTTTTGTGTGTGGTTGCTTTGGCATCACTTTTGTGTCTTGCTGGGCTGAGTAAAATAACGCAGGTCACCTATTTCACGCGGAATCCCAAGGAGTGAGTCGGGGCAGAATGTACATTTAACTCTCAGGCCAGATACACACAAGCAAAACACTCACCTCCTGTTCTGTGTCCTTTTTGCAGCCATGCCCTCATCTATGTAGGCCACTCAGCTCACCACAGAAGGGCGTTGGTTTGTAGTGAGCTTCAGCCCACTGCATAGCCACGCACTGCAGGACCAGCAGTGTGAAAAGGCCCCATAGCACGCTGTCCTCCTGTTCCTCGTTTCCCCTTTCTCACTGAATCCAGAATGCCTCTCCACAGCTTCCCATTTCCCAGACACAGCCAGACGGTGTCACTCAGACCCAGGCGGGGAGTGTGGCTTCTGCCTCAGTGGGAGTAGCTGCTGTGTCTTCAGCATTCATGGTTTAACCCAACCTGGAGTCTCTTCCTCGGTTCTAGGGGCTCAGTAGAATTCCTGTGGCTGTTGCCATCCTAGCCTCCACATGTGACCATGGGGGTTCTCGCCCATTACTGTTGCCCAGGGTGCCATCCAGCAGCCATGGGAGCGGGAGGTGGGGGCTGCAGTAAGACAGGGAGAAAATAAAAGAGAAAGTAGCCTTTGTTTCATCCTTTTCACTTGCCAGTCACATGACTGTCGGCCAGTTTATAGTTTGTTCAACTCGATTGGGAAAACATCTACCCACAGAACTTGGTTTCTGTCTGAGGGTGGCACTTAAAACGCACATGACCGCTTACAAATCTAGAAATGGACCCAGGGGAGCCTGAGGTACCGGCGGCTGTGCCGAGCCCCTCCTTTCCTCTGTTGTCCAACACGTTCCATATATATTTTTTTGAGATAGAGTCTCACTCTGTCGCCCAGGCTGGAGTGCAGTGGCATAATCTCGGCTCACGGCAACCTCTGCCTCCTGGGTTCAAGTGATTCTCCTGCCTCAGCCTCCAGAGCAGCCAGGATTACAGGCACACACCATCACATCCAGCTAATTTTTGTATTTTTAGTAGAGACGGAGTTTCACGATGTTGGCCAGGCTGGTCTTGAACTCCTGACCTCAAGTGGTCCACCCGCCTCAGCCTCCCAAAGTGCTGGGATTATAGATGTGATCCACCCTGTCCAGCCAGTATTCCATGTATTTAACACTTTAACTTTCCATTTCCCCATTGACCTCCACATTCTTGGTAGCTCATGGGTGAATTGGAAGAGTATACCAGCCCACATTGTAACAGCTTTTCAGTGCTCACACCCTGGCCTGTGCTTTCTGGGGTAGGAACCCAGTGCAATTTAAGCCTGTGCCTGCGACTCTGAGTCAGGGTGCCCTGGGTCTGCACGTTAGTGTCTAGTTAGTCTAGGCTCGTCACCTGAAGTGGATTCCTGAACCGACCCTGCTGCCACTGTTCATGGTTCAGAAAGTGTAAGGGGTGTGGCCTCTGGGGTCCTTGCTAGATTGGCAGGTCCATCACTCTTCACTCAGTGCCTTTCAGCTCCTTGGTTTACCAGGTCTGGAGAAAGGTACTACTTTGGCAGAGGGACCTCCTTCCCTTCTTCTTTTGAGATAATTATAGATCTATGTAAGAAATAATACAGAGACAACTTGTATACCCTTCATCCAGTTCCCCACAATGGTAACATCTCACAAAACTATAGAACAGTATCACAACTGGGAAAGGGACATTGACTCAGTCAAGATAACAGAGCTTTTCCAGCACTACAAGGATCTCATATTGCTCATTTATAGCCACCCACACCCTCTCCTCGCTCCTTAACCCTGGCAATCACTAAGCTGTTTCTCATTTCTATAATTTTGTCATTTCAGGAATGTTATATAGATGGAATAATATCGTATATAACTCCTTAGGATTGGCTTTTTTTCCACTCAGCATATTTCCCTGGTTGTTGCGTATATCAATAGTATATTCCTTTTTATTGCTGAGTAGATTCCGTTGTATGGTTTGCCATAGTTCATTTAACCATTCACTTGTTGAAAGACATCTGCATTGGATCCAGTTGGGGGCTATGATGGATAAAGCTGTTATTAACATTGTTTACTGGTTTTTGTGTGGACATAAGTTTTTATTTCTCTGGGATAAATGCCTATTTATCAGCAGAATATAATTGCTGGCTTATGTAGTATTTGCATGTTTAGACTCTTAAACTGTTTTGCAGGGTGGCTGTACCATTTTATATTCCCAGGAGCAGCATACAAGGGATCCAGTTTCTCTGCATCCTCCAGCATTTGGTGGTGGTACCATTTTTTATTTTAGCCATTTTGATAGGTGCGTGGTATTATTTTATTGTGGTTTCAGTTTGTGTTTCCCTAGTGACTAACGATGTTGAACACCTTTTCATGGGTTTAATTTGCCATCTGTTTTTCCTTTTTGGTGAAATGTCTCTTCATATCTTTTGCCCATTTCTAATTAGGTTGTTTGCTTTTACAACAAACCATTGAGTTTCACAAGTTCTTGATAGAGCCTAGATACTAGTCTTTTATTGGCTATGTGGTTGCAAGTGTTTTCGCCTAGTCTGTAACTTGTCTTTTCATCCTCTTAACAGGTCTTTAGCAGAGCAAAAGTTTGTAATTTTCATGAAGTCAAGTATATCAGTTTTCCATTTTATGACCCCTGCTTTTGGTGTCAAGTCTAAGG